GAACAATAGGAGGATCGAAATGCACCAATCACAGCCGACCTTTGTGATATAAATGATACCGTGCAATCAGATCCCCTGAAGAAGACTAGCAGTAAGCAGTCGAAACGTCGCGATCTACATCTCAAGTGACTACATCGTGAGACAAACAATAATACACTTTATTAACACATAAACTTGAGCTAGTGCACGAAACGTCCATGCCAGTGAAAGTATGAACTTCCCTTAACTGTCCAATTTTGTAAGAGAAAAGTACTTGGTATGAAGCCATGTCTGGAAAACATATCCTGGAATTGGAACCAGAAAACCTTGTAAATCTTCAAAACATTAATTGCCTTTGGATGTGACTGCGTCATCTTCGAAAATCCTTTCACTCCAAAGATATAAAATCTCATGCCTTTGGCTTGAAATGAACATCCCAAGCAGGATCAATGTTAATTCAACCAAGAGGCAGCTTCAAATACTTTCAAAATAGTACACTTACTGCAGGAATAAATATGGTACATGGTATATTTTCAAAAGAAAATGTGATTTTGATTTGGAGAAAAGAAACAAGTATAGTGCATGTATAGTACACTGTACATGTACGTGTAGGGTGAAGAAATTAATGGAAGGTCAACTATTTTCCCTCATTTCCCATCAAACCTATAGACCACACGTACTATATATCCATGGCAGAGCTGTAACCAAATGAATAGCAAATTAATAAGAGAATTAAACCAAGGACATTGTCACGATCATAGTTTTTTTTCTGGCAACAGCCCTGCATGGACAGCTGTACCTGCAAACAGAGAACATTTTAGGACCTTGCACACATTCATGTATTTGTATGTCTTCTGTTACAGTACAAGCATCTGTTGGTGGTAGCTTCTCTTTTCTTTGTATAATGCTCTCTTTACTCTTAATGGGTAGAAGGGTTCTTTCATTGTGATCCTGGTCTGCTGTTGCTGTTCTTGGTCTCTTCTAATAATCAGCCTCATCTTCCTCTATGTTTTTTCTTTTCCTTTTCTTTCCAGTACTTCAAACTCTTTTTTTTTTAAAGAAAAAAAAAACAGAATTAGCAATCAAAAAAATCCAATGACCTTTCATACACTCAGATTCTCACTTTGCTACATAACAAATAATGTTATGTTCACATGGCAAGTCTCCGATCCAAAATGAGGCTCATAATACCAGAAATAAACTGCTTGTACATGTAATCAAAAAAAAAAAGTTAAGATTATGTTCTTGGCACTTCTTATTATATAAGCTTAACCCGCAATACATGCTTAGACATGTTCAAATAGGGTCCAATTTAACTCAACAATAATGTTGAGCAGCACTGAATTCTAACTGAATTCATTCAAACAACATCCAACAAATCAAATCTTTGAAATATAATTTAACCACTCTCATTGTAACAATGTGTACCTCTTCCAAATGGTTTATCCTTACAAAAAAACTTACTCTGCTGTTACTCGCTGCAAAAAAGCAAAACTTCTTCGAGAATCTTGAAAATACTCCAAGTCTTCGGGGTCGAGTGCATCATTGTCTTCCATAGTCACATCATCTTCGTCCTCTGGAGGTGAATTTCCTGTAACTTTGCGCGCCTTTTTGTCTTTTTTGTTTCCTTTTCCTTTTGCCATTATAATATGATACCTCCTGTATAAGGATGTATTTCAAAGGTACCTATTCTGGTCCGTCTAAACTACAGAGAAGAAAACGTTCACTTCGTGCGACAGTTCGTCCACCATCTTGGACATGAGCCTCAGATGGCACCACGTGCACTCCAGCGTACAACCATGTCACCAAGTATGCTTATATATGAGTCCTTAGAGTGTCCCTTGCTACATGTAGTAACACTGTAGTAACATGGTTTGGATCGGTGGCGTGTGGTTGGGTGAGACGTGTGCTTACATTTCAAAGCGGCTTTTAAGCCGCTTTGAGATGTAAGCACCGTTTTGAAATGAGCGAACATAGACTGTTCGCGGCCTTCTGTTTTCTCTTATTTTTTCCATCGCTGAACGTGCGTTGACTTTACACATATTTTTTTATATATTTTTTTTTTTTATAAGAGCCGGAACTATCTGCTGAAATTTGTTCACTGCCTATTTCTATTTGAAGAATAAGGTAGCAGTCTATTATGGTCGTCCTAACATGAGCCCTAGCCTGCCAATCATAGAACAAAAATTCCTTCAAGTAAAGGCCCCCGGATTATACGATTTAGCTTCAAATGACTGAATAAATTTTTGCCCAGTTATGCAGGGTTTTGTATTTAATGTCTTACACAATATAAATTATGTTACGTTGAACTTATTTTGCGTTTCATATCACCGGTGATATCGGTACGTTGAAAGAATTTTAACGTTTAATAGTTTGCTCTTGCACACCTCATACCTATTTTCGTGCACTTAAGTCAGTTCTAAAGATAACCCCATCCTGCCCCCGACCATATTTCACTTTCGATATCAAGCCTTTTCCGAAACTAGGCATGCCCCCAAAAAGCCATCAAAACAAAAATTAGCGCAGGCTTTGTAATCGAAATTAAAGTATGAACATCTCTGTTTGTTTCAGATTCCTTTTATCTGATTGGAGATTCTTTTGGTCAAGTTTTAACTTGTAATTATTAAAAACATTTACATAGCGTGACAATCCCCGCCTGAACTATTCTAGTATTGTTACATCATTAATAAAAGGGAAAACCCCTTCAAGTTCCCCCGTCCTATATTATGGCAGTCTCACTGCAATGCAGCTCCACAAGGCACTGGATGCGGAATCTACCAAAGGTACACTGTATGTTTCTATGTTTCTTTGTTACTGATTTCAGACAAATAGATCGAAGGGTTGTCACTTCCGTATATCCTTAAAGGGGGATAGTGTTAATTCCTTGCTTTATATTTTCTGATGGCTTTACGAGGAGATCATTTCAGGTCGAATTCTTACTAAATCGTCGCTTTTGAATCCATTTCTTCTTTCAGTGAACGTTTTACACTAGCAAATTTTGTTCCAGTTATTATATTTTATATTTTTTTTTCGCGGAGAAGGATTCGCTCCGTTGTGGCTGGTTGTCGTTCAACAGATTAATGCAACCTTCGTTCTGCGAGGGTTTTGGGTCATGTTATGCCGGTGAAATATAGAGACTCCTTTAGCCCTTACAGGAGAGTCTACTGGCCTTTTTGTGTCTCTTTTCATTTCAGAAGGGGGCAAATATCGCCGACCAAGAGCTGAAACTGCGGACCCGTCGATTCATTTCATTCTAAGGTAAGAACTGTAAACATTAGACACACACCAACTCTCTCAACACGCACTGCATTGATTATTGCATTTCTGGTGTTTCTATGCATTGACTTTCAAGTCCTTGCAGATCGCGTGTTGTAGATTTTGTCCAGGAAGATAACCTTGATTTGAACTTCAATTAGATGGTGTTTCCTTTTAACGTATTTCTCGTGAAAATTTCACTTAAAATTTTAATTGAGGTTCGGGACGTGCTCAGACAAATCGAGAAATTTGCAGATGTTTAAAAAAAAAAACAAAGGTTTGTAAGGGGGAAACCCCGAATCACAGCCAGAGCTCTGATTTCTTTGAGCACAGTCCCATGTTCAACCCAAAGTTATTTTCCCTTCTAAAAGCATTCGTAGAAGCATGCATTATGTTCGATGAACTGATGATTGGAATTATATATTACATATGACTCAGATCGATGTATACTTTCCATGAACTCTGCTGAGTTTTGCAAGACAGTTGTAAGTTATGCTGAGCTGGCTGGTTTCGATGATCTGTTGTGTTCATATAAAATATGCTTAGCTGGCTGTTTTCCTCAATTCGGGAAAAACCCCAGCGGAAGTCAGTGCAGGACTTGCAGACATATCAAACACAGTCACGCGCCAGGCACGAGTTTAATTTCCTTTGGGAGCTATCCCAAATATTTTGCGCTAATTTGTCTTGGAGCGTGAGGACACTGTCCGGAATTTTGCGGCTCCTTTTTCGAGGACAGAAGACCCAGATTTCGAATACTACCTGTTCTAGCATATTCTTGTTATAATTTATCAGGGTTGAGAAAGACTAACTAATTCACCGACGGATAGTCATGAATACCCGGTTAAAAACCTGAAAAATTGTATCTGTATTGACAATTTTAGTCACCCAACATTCAATATTATGAACGATTTAGTTGCTTGAACCCCCGAATAAACAGTGAGCCGCCAGGGACATAGATTTCCATAACATCACAAACACTGTAATTTCACGCTTCAGTCCGCTCAAATAGTTACTTTATCATTCGAAAGTCTGAGTCTGAGAGTAAGCGAGGCTTCCAAAGTCTTCCTCAATAAGACGCTGCTCATCAAGAGTTATTTACTACATTTCTAATTGATTACTTTTTCTTCTATTTTTCAAGTCTGTGTCTTCTGTTTGGGATTTGATAGCTAAATAAGGGAGTAGATACATATAGTTTTTTTTTCCTTATACCTTTACACTCTAGTGCTTTATTCACATAAGGGTAGACCGTTAACAGATTTTTCTTTCTTGAAATTTAGGAATTTAGGAAGTACACCCACGCGCGTTTTAAGATGAAAAGGTGTTTGGACGCACCGCACCCTCTCTTAAAGGTATAATAATTTTAAGCGTTTGCGTTTGCTAATGATTATAAACGCTCGTGAAGGCCTGTTTACAAGGAGAGAGGGTTACTCTAGCACTCACACAGTTCCCCCTTTTCTCTTCGTCATATTTACAAGGCAGCTAGGGTTACCCGGGTAGGCGGGTTAACTTTTTCCCTTGTAAACACTCCAGGTAGGGTTAACCCGCCTACCCGGGTTAAATTTCTACTTGTTTCCAGATCCTTTGAGTGTAACTGCGCATTAAGTTGTCCCGGGTTGTAGGGTTACCCTACTTGTAAAATTTTGCTTGTAAACCCGGGCTATCTTTCTCCCTCCAGCTAGGGTTGACCCGCTTGCTAAGGTGACCCTCCCTCCTTGCAAACAGACCCTAAGTTAAGAAAAAGCCCACGTCAAACGCTGTAACATACACCAACGGGTTCTGTTTACGCATTCCCCTTAACTCCAAAGCAGACTTATTTTTTAGTTGATTTCTTCGAAGAAACTTACTTTAACAAAAGAGCTTGAGAGTAGAGTCGCCCGCAATATGAAAATTGTAATTCGATTAAGTACAGAGGAGGAAAAAAGTCTGACAAAAACGGTAAGTGGTTGGGATAGCAGCCCGGGAGGAGACTCCCATATAAAATGGACGGTGGCGTCGTATTTTTTAGGGGTTACAACGCGGTGTGGGTACCTCTTGGGGCGTTCAGTCTTGAAAGGTCAACAGCGGGAGTTTTCGCTTTACCTTTTAGGGTATTGAGCCGAAAAAATATGACAGGAAATAATATGCTGTTTTAGAATTGGTGTCTCTTAGGGGTTAAAACAATTTCAAGCCACGTCCATAAAACAGGATCTTGGTACTTCTTAGGGGTTCTTTTCAAAATTTCTGTCGAGCACCGCCGTTTTTTATATGGGAGTGTCCCCCACCCCGGGGTGGCAGAAGGGTTACGCGTGAATGAGTATTCGTGCGAAGTGCAATAAATACTTCAGATGATCAGGTGATAGCTAGATGAACGATCTTATGGTGAAGGTACAATCGATTTGTTTAAACGCGCCTTTCTTTTTCAAGATAGCTGAAATGTCTGTAGACGAACTTTCTTACGAAACCGTCGAAGAGCTCTGTGGTGCCCTAGAGAGGGGTCCTAGCGTAACCTGGAAAGCGCTGATGGAGTCAACAGTGTTTCGTTCAATCTACACTGAGAAGGTTGCACCTACGATCCAGTGCAGTAAAGATTTGCTAACTGATATGGCTGTTCGGGAAATAAAGCTGCCACGTCTGGTGGATGGTTTGAGAGAGATTGGAAATAAAAAGGCTGTATCAATAATAATGAGAGGTAGTCATTTCTTTCTTTACGTTCCACTTTTACCCGGATTCGTATGTATTTCTGACTGCTGATTACTTAAAAATAAAAATACTGGAAAATTCAGTAAATAGAGTTTTTCTTAGGCTCTAGTGGCCGGGGACTGGCTACAGTAGGTCAGTCCAGGCTAGTTTGGACGATTCTGTCAGTCGATATTAGGTGCTAGTGAGTTACAAGATGGTCAGAAGATATCCATGAAACCACTGCCATTTACCTTAAATCGAGGCTCTAAATGGCTCTTACTGCTAAGACTCGATCACTTTATTTAAAATTTTAACTGTCAGCTGAGAAAACGCATTTCTCAACTGATAATTGAGATCTGAGGTCTGCAGAGCTACACAGCTGAGATATGGGCTGAAATGTCAACCAATAGCTCAAGAATCACTGAGGATTTAACCGAAAGCTGCAATTAATTCTAGCAACCACATGCAGACCCTCATCATCATCATCATCATCATCATCATAAACCATCCTCTATTGACAGTGTTGGGTGAAATGAAGAACTTAATAGCAGATCTTGTTGTCTCTCCAGGCATACAGTTCTTGGGTGGACGCCCTCCCCCTGGCTGGAATTTAGAGGTATAAGCCGTAACCTTTATCATCAAACGTTATAAAATCTCTTCAGTCTTAACAGAAGAGTACTTAATTTTCAGTGACTATCAAAAGTGATTACATGTTTTGAATTTGCTGCATAGGTTCATTTACGGGTAAAAGTTGCATAGTATCAATTTAACCTGACGAAGCTGCTAAGGATGTCAGTTGACCATGCGGGAATAATGTTTCGGCTTGTTCCCGTTTTCCGGGAGAAAGGCGAAACATTATTCCTTCATCGATCAATTTTCACAATAGATCAGAGATTGCTGGATGGTCGAGTCAAATCCAAACCCAAGTCAAGTCCGAACCCGCCTCAAATGTCCAAGTCATCTTAAATTTACGAAACATCGCGTTACCCTAACAATAATTCAGCCAGGTAACCATTGATGTGCCATGACCAGTGTTATTTACATGTAGGACTAATAGGTTTACTAACCGGGGTAGTCTTTCTCCCGGTGCAACTCCTCACTCGTCTCCTGCCGTTATGTTCGAATCGTGCATTTGACTCGGCCTTTGTTTTCATTTACCCACTGAATGGATCAAGTTTTTTCGTTTTTTTTTAGAGGAAACTTGCCTCGACAATGTTAATAGTTTAGTTTTAAGTGTTCTGCTTTTAAATAGTTCCTGATTCAGTTATGACCTAATGAGTAACCACCCAGTCACGGAGAACACAGTAGCGAAACTGATTCAATAGTCTGAGTTAGAGTATTTATTTAGCTACTAAGGAATGAGTTATCGTCAAAGAGCCACAAAAAGTGATTATTTATTTATTTATTTATTTATTTAAATTGGCCAGTTGTAAGGTGCATGCTATCTGAATTAGAATTGCCTGTTTTTAACGGATTATCACTGCAGCCATGAAGTCGTCAAAGAACTGCATCGAAGCTGATAGTAAAAACATGCAATTCTACACCATCTATTGTTTGAAATCTTTCGTGCGTTCTTTTCTTTCTTTTCATTCTCTCTATGCATTCATTCATTCATTCATTCATTCATTCATTCATTCATTTATTCATTTATTCATTTATTCCCTTCCTCTTTCTTTCCTTCCTTGCTTCCTCTCATCCATTCATGCTACCTACCTACCCACCTTCCTACCTACCTACCTACCTACCTACCTACCTACCTACCTACCTACCTACCTACCCACCCACCTACCAATCTGCTCTCCATCACGCCAGTCCATTACGTTTTTTCAGTTGGGTTGCACGTTTCAATGTCACGTCACAATGACCGCCTCTTCTTTCCCGGGGTCGGCCATTGTGCTCGTTATGGCTATTCAGTTCACGCAGACAGTGCTCATTTTAAGATATAGCTAAAAGATTTGTTTTCGATCGAAATTACATTAACAGTGATGCTAGGTCTCTCCTTTTCTAATTATTCTAATTATTCTTTTTACCTCTGCACACAGCGCAGGGAACTAGCAGGAACATTACCACATCCGGTGCAGGAATCCGGAAAAGCCGCAGAAGGCGCCGACCGTCCTTCCATGCCTCGATTTGAAACTTCAGTGAATGTGATAGAAACTATGATTTCTACATTTTTCCCGTGCTTTACGGCACTTTTTCGTCAAACGCCTTGAGTAGAAACATTTACAAACAACCCCTTGTTTTTATAAAAGCAATAAGCTGGTAGTTAGGTTTAGACAAGTACTACAAGTCTAATTTCACTTAATAATCAGACTAAGATCTTTCATGGTAGCTCACGGTAAAATCCGCCATGTGAAGAATGGGCAAGAACTAGCACGCCTTACACTGCCCGTGTTTAAAATAATAGTGTGCAAGCTCGAATTTTATTACTAATCATTTGTCTAACTCAGGCTTAATGGATTAGCTCGAGTTATATTATTAGTTCAAGTTACTTGAAGATTTTGCATATATTGGAAAGTAAGTTAATTTGTTTCAAAGTCGCATTGATAGCATTTCAATACGCTTAGCTGTAATGTATTGTAAAACTGCATTTTAATTGTATTTTAATATCTAGAAGTAATGTATTGTACACGACCCCACAAGCTTTCAGCTTTCGTACATATCGTGTATAATTAAATAAAGGCAACCTACCTACCTATGTGAGTGCCTCGTGACAAATTATGATTAACCGAATTGTGGAATTAACTTACGTGGAGTATATAAAATCAAAAATTAAAGGAATCATGGTAACAGATTTGGAATTGTATTTAGTTGTGGAATATGAAGCGAAGGGACTAGGCCTACTGTTGGGATATTGTTTCTTACTCTAGGTGGAATCCTTGACTATTTCAGATAAACTTTCAGTATGTTAATCTTTTCAAGGCGGTGGTGGGAGGTGGGAGGTGGGACACCGTATTAATAAGTATATATATCATGTATTATTGAACTATCGTGAGGTCCGTGTGGGGTAAGTTGGTCAAGTTCTTCAGTTTCAGTTTTTAGACCTTACAAAAGAAAGAACGAGACCAATATTTCCTGAATACGAACTTAACAATTGTTAGTTCATTAACGCTTTCATTATATTGGCTCTTTTGAACTCTCTGTTAATCCATTCTCTTTATGCGCACGCTCCAAAGTTGAGCATTTATTTGGGTTTTTCAGCTGCGCTTTCTTAAAAATTTAACTCAAATCTTCGCAAAATATGAACGACAAACAAAATTTCTACTAAACTAAAAAGACTGTTCTTTTTTTTGGTACAATGTTATGAAAAGCAGAAATCAATTGGTGAGCGGTACGTCTTAATAGCCAGACTTCGATATGTTAAAATTCAGCCTAAAAGAATAGACCTCAGCACGAGGCTCCGGGGAATAACTACAGAGTTTGTGGGGTTTATTCCCCGGAGCCTCGTGCTGAGGTCTATTCTTTTAGGCTGAATTTTAATATATCGAAATTGGGGTATTAACGGTCAATATAATGTTGCAAAATTCGGGCCGCTTGTTAATCAGACGGACACAATAGGAATTCTTTTCATCTTGAGGCAATTCGTTTTTGCCTTTTAACAACGAGTCGACTGAAAACCTTTTTCCGACAAAAGTGGTCCTGAAATGATGGTGCTTACTTGGCGTGTTGCAACTGTTTATTATGTTTTCGAAGCCCATGGCAAATTGTTTTCAAAAACGCTAGCATCAAGCTTTAACTAAACGGAAACAGAAAGGGAATCATTTAAATTTAAGAGAACCCTAGGTAAATGTCCACGATGCCGGCTGGCCACGGCGGCCCTAGCCAGACCAAAGTATTCTTATAGAGGTAAAATCAGAAAAGAAAAAGCTTCCTTTGTGTTCATTTATTTTTTGTAATGCATAGCCTCTTACATGACCTTTAAAGATAGAATAAAAAAAAATTAAATTCACAATTTTTAACGAGGCAAGTGCCTCGGTTCGCCAGCTACTAGCTACTGCCCTGCTTGTTGTAGTATGCACAAGCATAACATCGTACAAGCTTTCAGCACTGCTTAGTTGAAATTCACAACCTTCGTCATGTTTAAGTTTTTCTGACGTGCTAGCAAAGAAAAGACTGTAGCATGCAATCACGAGCGATTATTTCCTTCTTGTCTATTAAAAAAAAAAAATAACAAGCAATAAAAGAAAAACTAATATTCGTATTCCGTACTTTTTTTTATCGAACCTAGATCTTCATTCGTCATTGTGTCACTTCAATTACACAAGCGAGAAGCAATCCGTGTAACGCTAATATACCGGCAGAACAAACCCTCTCCTATTCTACTGACCTAATCAGTCAGAACAAGGTGTTTTCGACCGTTCGTGTTAAATGGAGTAAAAGTCAAGAGGCTTGAAAATGTCTTCGTACAGCAGTCTCCACTTCTCGTCGCTCAGTTCTTTAGCTACCTCTGTTAATTTTACCCTTGGCTACAAACAAAAGACTCGCTAAGTTTCCTCTCCGTTCGGTCTGATACCGAAGGCTTTTCTTTGCACGGGTGCTCTTGAAGATCTGGAGCCGTGAACCTGGCCGGTTCAGCCAATACGAAGGTCTTCTGAGGTTGTTTTTCAGTCTTTGGAGACAATTCTGGAACTTTAGATGATAGTTTGTTCATTGATTTTCCTGCATAACCAGCGAATCTGTAATACTTTTCCAATCCTTGCTTTCTTACCTCCTCCTTGATGAGTGGTCGTGTTAACTTCCATTTTGCGAGTGGTGCAAGCCGATAAGTATTAGTATCACAGGTTCACCGACCCTTGCACGGTCTGAACTTCAACTGCGATGAGAGTTGCTTTGTAATCGCTTTAAATATGACACTATGATGGCACTTAGCTGGTTGTTTTTGCTCAAAAGCAATTAACGAATTATTGTACAAAACAAGACGTAAAAACAAAACAAGCTGAACACAGCGCTTCTATTGGCTTTCTCGGCGCATTCGACGTTGTTTTTAATTTTCAATTTCTCTTTACATGGCCGACATTCTCACCTTAAATGATCTCTAATTAACGACCATTAACGGTATAGATTCCAACAACCAAATTAAACTCGCAGGTTGTTATTGTTGAATATATAGACATATTCACCCGTGTCAAAACCATTTCTAACCACCAATTAGACAAAGCTAAATTTTCTGGGCTATTTAACATTGTGCATTCCTTCGGATGTCCCGTGCATGGTAGTATATCGCTCAGCTTTATGAGTAATCATAATCAGTTTGG